ATAGTGACTTATCTGACCTTAGCAGTACGCCCGACCTGAGAGTAACCAATATAAAACACAGGGGTGTATTTGAATTAAATGATGATTGTGCACGTTGCAATGGTAAGTATTCTTATTATAATATTTGAATATAATGTAGTAAGCTTTATAAACTCATTTTATACTTCAGAGCCCGCAGCTAATAACAGCGACATACGCCAATATTTCATTGCTGATCATCCATTTTTATTCGCTGTCAAAGACCTGACAAAGGTTTATTTAGTTGGTCGTGTGATGAAACCTGTGTAAAGAGTAGTTAAATGTAAGCAACTAAAATATTCTTTAATAAAATATTCAGGCACACTTAAAATACATATCTAAGTTTGAAAACGATCCCATAAATGAGAAATGAAATATAAGTGAGTGTGGAATCATGGTTAACTATAAATGTATTCTATCGAATACTTTAACCTTTCGCTTAGTTACCTTTTGCACATTTCAATAACATTTTATTTTGTTCTTCACTTTTTGCTACACACATTCTCATGTTTGAAAGTATTTCCCTTCAATGCAGTTGACATTTTTATTAAAAGCTTTAAGTCGTAACTGCAAGGCACATACTTACACACACTTACGCTCGCTCTCACACACACACAGATACACACACACACAGACATAAAGTTGCTGCGACAGAGTTTTCCTGCAATGGCAACGGCTGCTGTCAACTTATTGGCTGTGAGGCACACATGCGTGAATGTGGCTATGTGTGTGTATGTGTGTATAAGTGTGTGTATGCTCCATCTGCTGTCTTATGCTACAAAGTAATATTGTCAAATATGAGTTAGTATACGAAATCAGCTTTAAGTTGCCGACATCGCCTGGAAAATCCTTTTGTTTGATGCTCTTAGTCATTGCTAACAATTTTCTTCTCTTTTTTCTCTGCACTAGATTTTTGTCATTGCACACACACACACACACTCACACATACACTGAAAACGACGTTCAGGAAGAGAACTTACAGAGTTGCAATATTTTTTCGTTGTCGTGCTGACTTATGAGCTGAGAAGCAGCAGAAACAGGGGCATCATTTTTATAAGCTGCCAACGGGGAACATTTTTGCAGTGCGTGACATTTTATGAAAACTCACTTGATAAATGATTGAGAAAACGCACACAGGGGAAATGCATACAAATAAAATCCACAATGATATTTTAATGCGTCGACCAAATTGGGTTGGAGTGCGTTCTAAAAGTGTCTACTATGGCGTTGGCTATGATAAATTAATCAAAATGAATGTCACGATTGCCCTTTATCCCAGAATTCAGATATGAATTCAAGAATCAATCATGATGAGTCGACAGTTCTAGAAGGAACTTTATAAATTCAAATTAAATTCGATCCAAGATAGACTCATAGCACAATTTGAAACCTTCTACCTTCTATAAAGCCTTATAAATCGCGGATGTCAATTGCCATTATAATATATCAGGCCGAGACACACTGCGTATGCTTAACATTCATGCGCCACCATTCTGGCCAACTGTTTATCGGTTTGTTTGTTCTCTGTGTGTGCACGTGTGCGTTTATGTCATTCGCAATTTGCAATTGCCGAAATTTTCGCTTTCACGCACATAATTCTCGTGTATAATTCCGTCGAATTTCTGACTGCAATTGCATTTGCATGGGCCCAAGCCGGAGCCTCTGCTTGTGACTATGCCTGTGCCTGCGCATGGCAGCCTACAGATTTCATTACATGCGCTGCAGAGCGTTTAAGGGGGCAGTGGGACAGCGAGGCATCTATTCTTCCATTCCTGCGATTCCTTTTCACCCGCAAGCCCCCACACCGGAATCCCTTGCACATGGCGCTTGTTCATTATGCGCATAAACATTTTGGCATCCGTTGCTGGCTGCGTTGATTTGGCGGCTGCTTTCGCATTGTCTTCGAACTGCCATGTGTTAGATATTTTTGGGTTATGCCTCTGACTCCCCACCCATTTGGTTGTTTCTGTTGTTACCCGCATTTGTGTATTTGCCGGATGTGGCATGCCTGCCAGTTGCCATCGCCTGATAATGACGGCCATGGCGAGATTTTAATTTAAGTTTCAAAGTGCAATTGGAATGCTGCATTTAAATCAGTTTGAATTCAGTTTAATGACAAAATATAAATGATGCAACATAAATGTCTTATACAATGTTTTCTTCTACTACGCTTGTAAATTGTTTGTCATTCTTCAAAATAAAAATAATGTTAATTAAATTTAAAAAATTTTAAAAGAAAATAACATTTGAATTAAACATTTTTTGGTATAGCTCATAAATTAGTTTCCCTGGCCCGCTTCAAATTACTAACATGCAATTGGGCAAACAATTCATTTGCATGCTCTGAAAATTGTAAAGATTAAACATAATAACAACATAAACTGAATGACATTATAATAAAATGTTGTTACACTCCCACTGTGGCTGACAGCATAATCACAAAATAATTTGCATAAAATTATACATGAATTTGCATGACCAAGCACGCGGCTATGATTGACCGCATGCAAAAACAAATTATGCAGGCGGATAAAAAGTAGAACAATAATATTGAAATTTAAAAATCAAGAATATTCAATTGGCATATATATATTTTCTTCAGCAGCATTGAGGAACAAATAGCTCATATTAATAAGTATTTTTTTAAGCCTTTCGACATATATTCGAGAAGTATTTAAACAAAATCTTAATTAGCCGATCAAATGTTCGAATGTGTGTGCCACTGTGCCACAATAGTTTGATGCTCTAAATGATATAAATTCGCAAGCAAAACAAAGAGTTAATTCAATGTCTCTCTGCCGGTCTGTAGTTCATTCAGATTTGGGATAAAAAACCAAATATATATTAACGAACGCATTTCAGACCTACGTACAGGGCATCTACAAGTCAGGCAATCTCGACAGAAGCACTCTTACTTATTTCAAATTAAGCTGTAATACTCTTTATATTCATACAGTACGAATCGTTGTAAAATTATTCCATATATTTTCAGTTGTCTCCACGAGGACGAGACAGTAAAAATTGTCAACCATTTGGCACGCATCAAACGTGTCAAAGTGACAATTCTTTATTTGCATATAGCTGACATCCTGCTCCTAGGAATTCGTGGCTGTGATGAATGACAACAAAAATAAAAACAAAAACAACAACATCAACAGTAACAACACTTGCTCCTGGTCACATTTGCGTGCCGCGACGTGAGTCGCATGCTGAGCAGAATAAGCGAGACAAATATTTGGAGCGGGTGTGACTGTGTGGAGAATGTTGAAAAAGTGTCGCCATTGCCACAGGTATAAATGTTCGGCATTTATCAACGCCGCTTACAGTTTTTCCGTTTTTTGAATGAAGCTATCAAGTTGTGAATTTTGTTTATTTATCAACAGATTAGCGAACTGTTTCAGACCTGATTCCTTAACACACAATCTACCAGTTCGTTATTTTTCCCTCCCGACCCCCTCTCTGCCTCTTTCAGTTTCTTTCTGTCGTCTCTTTTCTCAGTTTTCCTCCTCTGGCTTGACTTGGTTTAATGGTACATGAAATCGCAATAAACATGGCGCAGAGCGCAAACCTTTGCGCTCTGTAGTAAAGTATAACTTACCCCCAGAGCGCACATAAGTCAAAATTTCACTGCGTCGATGGGTGTGGGGTCTCCGGGTGTCCGGGGGTCCGGGTGTATTCGGAGGCTTACTGCCTGTAACTGCCACGCATTAAGTGTAGGCGTTAAAGTTGCACAGTTGCTCAGCCATTCTGTCCCTTGGGTCTGTTTTGTACAGTGCCCAGTCTCGAACTGTGAAATATGTTGCATACATTTCTGTCCAGACGGGCGACACATTTGCGGTTTATTGTAGGCGTGGCGCGTGCCAAACATGGCACACACCCCCACCCACACACACATACACAAACGCACACACAACCATTGTTACGCCATTTGCTTGCCCCTCACGTACGCAGTCGCCGCTGCACAGATCGAGGGCGGCGGAACTGCCCAGTCCCAGGCTCTCAGCGTATACTTCATAATTCATTTTCTTTCTCTTTTTCATTATATTCATTTTCACATTTTCCTCTTTCACTTCCTTTTGGTATGTGTGTGTTTGTCCAGTTGTAGTGTCGTTGACAAATTGTTTTAAATTGCATTTTCATAACATCTCATTTGGGGGTAAAATATTTATTCAAGAAGCTTAAATCAAATAAACTCCATAATCGCCGAAAATATAGTTACTAGAAGCACAATAGCTTTCTTCTTTTTCTTTAATATAATTTATATATTTTCTTTTAATTTTATATAGAACCTTATCCATTTCAAAGAGGGTTAAAAGAGACGATAAGCTGCTGAGAGTTTAGTCGCTAACCAGTTGGGGGCTGATTAGGCAACCCGAGCTTCCAAAATTCGCTCGGATGTAGGTGTTTAAGCTTAGAGTGCCCGAGTGGGTTATACGCTGATCCAAGCACTGAGCACAGAGACAGTTACAAACATTCTACCTCCTTTCTATACAATCACACATTATATTGCATAAACACCTGCACACTCGCACAAACGCTGGTTGGTTGTGCTTTTTCTTTTCTTTCTCCTAACATGCATTTTATTGTGCGATCATTATAAAATTCAGTGGATAAATACGACAACCAAATGGGTGTAAGTATCAAAGCATTAGGCTATCTACAAAAACGAATTTTGTACAATTTTGATGACGGTATCCAAAAAAGTTAAATAATTTAGATCTGTGTAAATGAAACGAGAGTCAATATACCAAATTTATTGCCTCTAGCTCTTATAGACTCTCAGACCAACGCATTCATACATAATGATAGACGGACGGACAAACAGACAGGCATGGCTTTACGCATACTTTATGCATACTTTATAGTGTTGGAGATATCTGTGAAATACATATTGTGTAAATAAATAATATATATAATATGTATATTCTAAAATGATGTATATATTTCTAGTATTTTCTCTACGAAAACAACGAAAACTTTTGTCGATAACTGTTAACAGTGCTATCCATACAATATAACAGGACGGCATAAGCCTAATTAATTTCTTTGGATTGCCGCATTGATGTTGCCTCGAAAGAGACGCAATGTGATTGTCGAACACTTCCACTTAACACTAAGAGCTCGTCCTGCAGGCTTTGCATGTTAACATTGACAACAAAACTATTTTGGTGAAGAGCAATCAAACATCAGGCAAATGATGGGAATGGCGACGGCCATTGCCAAATATCCGCCGCTCAAACATCAATGAAATTCCAATAGGGCAATCGTTATTTGATGGCAAAACCAACCGTTACAATTCATCAAACAACAAATGGATATTACTTCATCGAAAACAATATTAAATACTTGAACGTAAAACATGGACGTACCACAATGGCCGGCAGCGTCAGGCACAGGATCAGGCCCAGACATTGACACTGACGCAGACACTGGCACAGAGGCAGTGGCAGGCCCATGCCCATGGCCATGCCCGTTGCCCGGCGTTGAAACGACCTCAAAGTGTGTCCACATGGAAGCGACTGACTGCTGCGAGCCTGAAACAAAAGTAAATTGCAATAAAAGTTTGTAATTGACAAACGGACAACAAACAAAACTCCACTCCAGTTACCAGTTGCCAGTTGCCAGTTGCTGGACATTGGTTGTTGGATGTTGGATATGGATGTCGTTTGGTCTGACTGGCGGCGTTCCATGTTTTCGGCGACTAAACAACTGGCGCGCAAATCAACAAAAACCGATTTTCAGAAACAGGAAGCCAGCAGCAGCTACATTGCCGTTGACAGACATGCAGCCCAACGCCCTTTTGAGGCAGCCCCCACTGTCCCCACACCCCCTAGCTCGTTCCCTAAATGTGCCCGCATATTGACTTTGTGCGAGGGGCACAAACGATTTCGGATTTAAGAAATAAAAGTTTTGTGCCTCAGCGAGCAAATCTGCAGCCACAATGGCAAACAGCTAACCAGACTACACACACACACACACACACACACACACTCACACGCACACCAAAAACAACAACAACAACAATGGGCTAGAGCAAACAAAAGACGCGTCTGTGGTTGGCCCCGCCTGGGTGGATGTGGCCAACTGGGGATGCGGCTGTCGAACGGCAAAATGTCGGCGGTTACTACTTTGACTTGTTTACCCCGCCTGAATCAGAATCAGAAACTGAACAGAACTGCTGCTGGGCACAGAATTGGTAACGGCCACGGGTCTGGGACTGGGTCAGAAGCAGGGCTCATTGGTTTCGGGCATCGTCTGTAAATAGACTCCACTCCACTCGATTTGCGATATACAAGCAAGAAGCGCCATGACGAACGACAAGTGCAATCGCTTGACACTGTTGGCGACAAGCTGCTTCCGGTTTCCGGGTGTGAAAACTATGAATGCAAAAGTCAAACCAGAACATTTTTCAAATTCTACACACGTTTAATAAATTCTATAGTTGATGAACAGTTTCACATACATATGGTATACCTATCTCAACCTATGACCAAATAGTTGAGCGCACATAAAATGTATCATTCCCACACCTGAGGTCAAATCAGCCATCAAGATAGGTAGCTCATAGCCTCCGGCCTTTGACCATTGTATTTGCTTGTGCCGCACATAAATGTTAATTGTTTAATTTGCATGGCCATCGTACAGATCCGTGGTCTGAGAAATTAATGAATTTGTGATTAGCAGCCACGGAAACATGTTGTGTGAGTAGGAATTTGCATGGCTGGCAAAACTCATTTCAATTTGCGGCCTGGGGCAACCCGCTGCGTGTTGATGTGAGTCGCTTTAAGTCGGTGGCAAGAAATGGCCAGCGGAAACTTGACTCAAAAATTAACAATTTTCATACAGTCGCAACGAGTCTAGAGCTTTCGGCCTGGCTTAACAAACGATTCGCTAATTTGACAAACCCACATGAGGTCCTTTGCTTTACAAATACTATTCACGAATACGTGAACACAGCTCGTGTACTACTCGAATGAGCAGCCCTTGAACGGACGGGACGCGCACTTAACGTGCGCCACAGGAGGCTGTCGTAATTGCGAGTCCAGCCCAGACGTTGAATGCCCCAGAACAAAATCGTCCACACAATCAAATCGAAATGAAATTGACCATTAATGGCTACGTTTCGGTATGTGTTCGTGTGTGAGACTCAGTTTGGGGTTGGCTATTTACGACGACATATGTACATGCAACTGTCAACGTATTGAATAACCTGGTGAATACCACGATTTCTCTGCCGCTTTGCCACTGACAGCTATTGTGCATGATGTTGACATATGAACGGAGGTCAATTGACACCCAACCGGAAAGCTATTTAGCTTATGTGTATTAAATGTTAGAAGTACACATCTAAACAAATTTTACTCTTAACTGGATCTCTACATTTTAAGTACTCTTTTAGCAGAAAGCTCTAAAAACATGAATATTTTATACTCTCAGCTCAAGTTTTTAAGCAAGGCGTGTAAACTAAGTAAACTCAGCAGGTCTTCGGTATGTGTAATTATTTTGCGAGCCTTCCGGTTCTATCATCATCAGAATTTGCTGTCGACTTCATGTTTTCAAATTATTATGATTTTTTAAAATAAATAAATCTAACTAGAAGTGCCTATAACATTACCATATCTCTACTCTAGTCAGGGACTCGGCTCCGAATGCCCGTGGCTTAAAACTTATCTATTCTTTCAATGACATTGTTTGAAATTCTTTTTTGAAAACAATGTTTTAGCATAACTCAGAAATAAAGACTGTAAACCAATTGACGTTAAGTTGGCTGTGCATTTTGCTGCATTTGGCAAACTCATTAAAAACTTTTTAGGATGAACAAAAAATACAAAAAATTAACAGAAAGAATTAAGAGTATCCAACTAGCAGATACCACTCCACATTTGAACTTCCTTCAATAAACACAGACACAAAAGCACTAAACAGGAGGAGATATCCCAAAAGTGAAATATTTTTAAACTTAAACCAGAATAGCAGGGGAATAGGTAAAATATTCAAGAGACTATACCAATATATATATTTTTTTTTTTGCCTATAATCTCCGGGATTCGCTCTAAGAATCGATATTTATTGACTGAGGTATTTCCCATGAATTTGAAATATGCTTTAATTGAACATATACATACGCTGTGTATTATAAACGAATAGACAGAGAGACTCGGCCAGATTGACTTGACTGATTTAAAATATTTAAGTTTCATTGACGCTGGGATGCCTCTTTCAGCATTCTGCTGAGTACAGGGTATAAAAACAGCTAACAGCGACATGTCATACACACTCCCCAGTTCACCCACCTGCATATTTGGCCAACACTTTGGCCGCGATGCTGGCAAACTTGTTTTGCACATAACTCAAACGTTTTGTCGCTCTCTGCTCCGATAATTTCCTTTTTTCCGCTTTTTGTTTAAATAATTATTTTTCTGGATGGCGGAAAATTTCTCGGTGCTCATTTTTCACGGTTCAGAAATGCATAAACTTTACCATGGGGCGGGAACAAGCATCATTTTTATAGCGCATTTAATTAATTAGTCATAAAGTTTTGTTCTTCCTCAGAAAGTTGGTAGCTCGCCTTCGCGCGGCGCTTTCATCAACTTCTTGGGGAGGCACAAGTCATTATCCCTTTCTGTGTTCAGCTTCTGCTTATTATCCTGCGTCAACGACAGCTCATCATCATGCGCTCGATTATGCCAGAACCCTGATCCCAGCACGGACAGCTTCAGGCTCCCTCTACTCTGAACCAAACACAGTCCCGGGACTACTCGGGTCACGAGCGATAGAAGAAACCAACCCAAGCCACATAACTTTTAGATATTCGCCGTTTGCGTAAAATATTCATGTGCATTGCTAAGTGGCCCGCGAAAGGTAACTCCACGTGGACCTGGAACGGAATTTGGCTGGCTCCCCGGCGATTATATTGCCGCTTTGTGGCTGAAATATTCATAAAATGCTTAATTAATTGATTAATGGCCTCAAAGTCAAAAGTTTTGCCAAAAAGCTATCGCAAGGTATCAAATTACTCATAAACGTCTCCCCCTCCTGCGTGGGAGGTGGATAAGATATATATTACTTAACTTGTGGTACGCCTGGGAAATGGCCAACAAAATTTTGGTTAGTTTTAGCAAGCGCAGCAATTGTGCATTTTGTTTGTGGCCACAAAATTATAGCCAAAGTTATGCTAGTTACAAATTATGGATGTTCAATTCGGTAAACGAGCTTCTAATCTAGTGAATCGCGCTTCATGTATTTTAAAACGTTTCGTTGTAGCGGCAAATGCGAAATTAAATTAAATTAAAGAGATGACAGCAGATTTTGAATAATAAGTATTATAGTTGAATTTTAAGAAAAATCAGCCCTAATCCATCTTTTCCAAGTTACCAACCGTCGTCTTTCGGAGCAATCTGTGAGCCAAAGGGAATGCCCGTCAGCCCGGCAGAAATGTGTTAAAATTCTGCACAACGACACTTGCACGTAACATGTCATGCTAACATATAATTATATTATTGTTGTTTTCTTTGTTTTACACCAGACTCTCCATTTCCAGCCAATGGACTTCAATTGGTAACCCGACACGAGCAGCGAGGCCTCGCCCGGTCCGCCCCTGTGGTCATATAACAAAGATCGCTGCGTTGATAAACTTGAACGCCCCGGGGGCACGGCCACATGGACGCACTGCAGCACACAACGGCAAGAATAATAATAATAATAACAATAATAACAACAACAATAGAGAAACGCACGTGTTAACAAGGATGCGATAAAAAAAATAAAGCGTTGTGAGGAAATAAACGCTAGAATGACAGGAAATATGTGTGCGTGACATTGTAACTTGCCCGGACTGTTGGGCTGTTGGTCCTTGTTGCACCCTCCATTTCAGGTTCTTTTTCTCTTATTGTGGTTGTTGCCGTTCGCCACACGAAAGCAACAGGAAACACTATACCTGGGCCGCAACATAGCTAGTATGTATAAATGCCTGGTTAAGTTAGAAAAAATTAGCCAAGCTTCGCCTGGACATGAATAGCTCGTGTAGGTTTCAAGATGGGCGGGAATTCCGCATGACATGTGTCTGGCATTCGACATGACATGCAATGCTCAGCGAAATTATATATGTGAATATATAATATGGTATAAAAACGAAAATTTAATTTTTAAAATGTATCTTTATTGATTCTTTTTTTATCAGCATATAATTTTAATATGAATACTCTCGCCAGTCCATCTCACTCGCCCTCTCTTATGTTCAATTGTTTTGTATGCATACATAACCAAGCTTTACTAACTAAGCTGAAGACGCCTTCGGTACTCAAACTTTAAGCACTTTAAGAACACAATGTTGTAGTATACATAGTTCCCTTGTTTTCTGTGTTTTGTCTGACTTATCAAGCGTAAAAACTCGTTATAGCTATACATATTTTCGTACTTGCTACCAGCACGCAGCATTTACAACTGCAATGGAAATTTTTTACGATCCAACGCTTGGCCATAATTTTATTTTTGATATTTCTTTTTTTTCTGCATTTTTTCTTATTGCTTGGAGCTTTGTTCAGCGGCCCAAGCGTTTTGCTTGTGCATACATTCTTCCAGCTGCTGACTGTAGCTCTTAATACTTAAGAAAGGCATTTTACATTTTGATTGGGACATTATATCTATGTATCTGTCTGACAATCTGCCTCACTTCAATTAGCAGCGCAATGAAGTTTTGATGCAACTTTGTCGCTCGGCTTTATGGTCATGCTAATGGCCAATCCTTTCCAGTTGGCTGCCAAACATTTCATGGTCATTTTTATGGCCAGTATCATTAGGAAGGAGTGTGTGCATATACCCTGCATATGCATGCAGTTGATGATGTGATGTCTATTAATTTGCTGAACTTGAAGAACAACTAGAAAATATTGGATACCATTTTTCTAAACTTTTGCTATGTGAGTGCATATTAGGAGAACGATCTTTCTATAGGGTATAACGTTGTCTATATTAGTAGAATTTCGGGCTCTTAAAAAGTTTGTTTGCCAAACAATGTGATTACAAATTATGATTTATGCTGGCGTTAAAACTGGACTCATTCACTCATTGCCCAAACCACGCCCACTATTAACATCGCGTTTACTCCATTCCAAACAACCCTAAGTATTTATTAGTCGATTTTCCTTCGCTTGGATGAATTGCGGTTTTAATAAAACGACGCATTGCTTTTGTTCTCTGGAATTTTTTTAATACAAGTTTCTCAGTTGGGCAAACTAGCGAACGGCCAGTGGCAGTTAGAGTTGAGGTTGGAAATTGAAGCCAGCCAGACATTGGCTAGACCATATATCATATATGTAGCCTTCATTGTGCGCAGTGCAGCGGCAACTCTGGCAACCGCCTTTTGATAGACGATTTATTAAGCGTTTATTATTAGTTTTTGCCTTTGGTGGCTTTTCGGCCATTTTTGATTACAAATTCCAACGCTGGCGTTACACGCCCTTATACTCTGTGTTTTTAAAGTGGTTAGAGAAAGGGTATAAATAAATAATCTAAAAGAAAACAGCTGCTTACATAAAAATTATATAATGCTAAACGTATATGAAGACATATATATTTGTAGTTAAACATCGAACTAAAAAATAACACACTTAATATAAAAGAAACACTACACTAGTTAAGTATATTCACAGGGTATCTTCTGGTGAGCACTTTTAATAAGCCTTATAACTTTGTTTCAAAATAATATAATATAACTTGTAGCAAAATATGAGAAGAGTTTTAACACTTTTCATATACATTAATTTGAAGAAATGCAATTTATATGCAACTTCGGCTCATTTATTCATCTAAAGACAGAAAGTAATTGCAAGCTCACGCTCGGTATCTGCATCTTTGCGCTGTAATAAAAATTTTAATTGAAGCAAACTGTAAAATGGCGAGCGGCTTTATTTATGCAACACAAAAGCCGTGCAACAATGATGCATCAGTGGCAACAAGAAAGGCGCAGCGCTGTCTTTATCTGCTCAATATGCAGAGCTTAAGTTGTTGCTTCCTGGGAATGGGGCTGAGAGATTCTGATTGTAAGCATCTGCAAAACAATTAACTCAGGGGAAGGTAAATATGGTGGTTGCTGCTCACCTGCGTACGCAGGAAGCACAGCATTTTTGTGCATGTTAAATGTAGCCAGACTGTTGTTGTTATCCTGCAAAGGACCTGCGCTCGTCTGTCTGCCGGCAAACAATGAAGCCCAACATCTTTGTGTCACAGTTGCGCCTTTAAAACATAAGCTCAGCACATTTGCATGTGACACATCGGCGGCAGCAGCTCAGGGTCAACGGCAGGCGGTCAGGGCCTGGCTTACAGTCCAGACTGACATTAAACTTGCATGAGGGCATTAAGAAATCCATTTAAAGGCAGCACATCATATCACGCGTGCATTGCATTGTCTCGACTGCACCCAAGTTTTTTTTCCGCCCGACGGGTCGATTGTCTAGACCGTCCTGGAAGTCAAATGCCATTTGTTTGAGCAAACTTTTAAATCGCTGTGCTAACCAAATAATTGATTGAATTTCCGCTGGCAAATTGCAGTAATTTGTTGACATTTTGTAAATTGTTTTCAAATTGCTTGCACAATGTCAAATTTAGTTTACTGTCACATTAAATTGTTCGCGTTTGTGTAGTTGCAGGTGTAGCATAAAAATAAATATGTATATTTTACACATTACAATATGCACACGTGTCGTATGCGTAATTTGGCTTATCGATTTGCCCTGTCAACGTGGCGTTGTTTTTAAGTTGTCCTTCACAACTTTTGATTGCGAGTTTTTAAAAATTTAAAACGGGAATAAAAAATGTCCTTAGTTTGAAATTTTTACATTTGATATTTGGATTGGACTTTAGAAACACGATATTTTGTGTAAATATTATGAAACAAATAGGGATGCGTAAAGTGATAGCAGGAAAAAAGTGAATATGTAGTGAATATTCGAAAAGTTAGCGAAAAAGAATAAAATATATCAGATTTGTATTATTTCGTCTTGCGTTCAGTCGTTTTGTCATTACAATTTTGAAGATGGTACTTGGAATATGAATTCTTGTAAATCTGCCGCAGATAAGTTTAGAAAAGCGATTTGGAGCAAATAAAAAAAAAAAAACAATTATTTTCACAGCTTAAGTCACATTATTCTGATTGAATATTTTAAACCACTTTCACTTTTGGCCTTTTGAGTTTACAGAAAAGGGTATTTCCTTTCCATAGCCTAACAAGCCAGCTTTAAATATAGTCATTATTTATGCAATATGTTTTTATTACCCCATCAAACGCAAATCAAACATAAAGTTAACTGCAGCTTCAACCCCAAAGTAAATCTCCCCAAGTTCATGTCACTGGAAGTATCTCTGCAGAATGCCCTGTTCGTAGAGGCGCTTCACATCGGTGCCACCTCCCACAAATTTACCATTAATAAAACAACGCGGCACTGTCCGAGCTCCGGTTAGCTCGCCAAGCACCGCCTGGATCTCATCAGCATCGCTACGCAGGTCCAGCTCAATCACGGTCATCTCTACATTCAGCTTGCGGAACTGCTCCTTGGCCATGCTGCAGTAGGGACAATAGGTCTTGCTAAAGACCACGACTTTGCTGTTGGCAATCGTTTGGCGTACGAACTGCGCCTGCGGACTGTCCATGTTGACATACATCATCGGTTTTTGCATAGAACTCACTACAGTTCCCATTTATCAAATGTGATATTAAGGACTGGTAGATGGGTTCAAATATGGAAAACTAATTTTTTAGAGTTGAGAAATGTTGAATTTTGAATCGAAATTTCTAAGAATTTCTTAACATATTGCAGATGAATTGTTTTCACAGCTCTGCTTGCTATGATTTAAAATCTTCATAAAGTTCCTTAACATCTGTAAATAAAAGAAACTTCAAAGTTACAATTGCAACATTTTTAATCCCGTCATTATCAAATCAATATATTATTAACAAATGGGAAACTATACCAATATTTCTAGAAACGATTAATTTTTTTTTCTAGAAGAAATAAAATGATCTAAATCTGGGTACATTGGATATGTACAATACATAATGTATAAATCATGTACGATCATCAACATCAATCGACCCAGACTCGTTTTCAGATTAATACAATATGAAGACTATTTAAATCTTTAATAGTTCCGTATGTCAATATTCTAGTGCTCAGCAGACTTTCCTCTCCCTATTTAAAAATACTCATCTTCTGTCTACTTTGCAGGCCATCAGGGAACGTTATGAGCCTCCCGTTTACCAAATGACTTTTGACACTTTCACTTCACTCAAAGCACAGACACAGCACAAACATATCATCAACACCACCTTAAAACATGTAAGAATGTCTAGATTACTCAACTAGGAGATACCCTGTACCCAGCAGTATGGAGCTGGCTCCTTATTAGAGCAACTAAGAATCAATATTTATCGATTTCGGGAAAAGTTAAAATTTCGATATGGTGTACAGAATCATATCTTCCAAATTTAAAGTCTCTAGCTCGTATAGTCTCCACAACCATAAAACATATAATTTTTGAGGTGGAAGACGCCCTTCTACCAATTGTATACACTTGCAGCACCTACCCATTGTCGACGGGTACAGGATATAACTAACCACAAAACTAACAGCACTCAGGCAACAGCTAACCCGACAAACTGGTGAGTTATAAAGCGACACTTTCTAATGAAGTGGGCGTTTACTTATTTATGCACAGTCTGAACCCCAACTAATGGCTAAAACATCAAAGCGCATTTAGTAATGTTAGAGCCAAGCGAAATCTTCAATGGCCAGGCCTTTAAATATTAA